TTATGTATATTTGGGATCAAGGAAACCATGTTGCTGTCATTCCAACCATCATTTTCTTGTGCGTTAGAGACTTGTGAGCTTGTTGAGAAAGGTCTGGGTTTGATTTGCATGGAGAGAGCTATAGTATCTTATCAGTGGCTCATAAACATTGAAGAAAGATTAAATATTCTGTTTACCAAGCATCCCTGCTGAGCTTTTTTATGCCAGGAGAAATGGAAAATTCTAACATTACACCTTGCAACTGTACTGTATTGTCTGTACTGTACTTTTTCTTCTGCCGCCTTTTGAATTACAATCAACAAGTAGACATGGGTATACAAATGCAAATATCCATCCACCCATTTTCTCTCCACTGCCTCCAACTGAGTGGCAGTCGGAGCGGTAAGCCTAGGGCAGGGTACACTCTGTAGGGGGTGCTAGTCCATCGCAGGGCAGACAGACACAAACACAGACACACACACACTCACACCAGGGCCAATTATGTCTTTGGACTGAGGGAGGAAGCCGGCGCACCTGGAAGAAATGGAAACACAGGGGAACATATAGACTCCAAACAGACAGCACCAGAATTGAACCTACAGTAGGGCTCCAGCACTGTGAAGCACCCAAATATAAATATACTCATTAAAATACACATATACAAATGAAAACAAAATAAGAAAAAAAACAGAAAATAAAACTGAATTAAAAGCTAGAATATAAAAAATGAGTTTAAACACAGGATTGAAAAGTGCTGGCTGACTTGGTGGAAAGTAGTTTTTTATAGTGGAAACTCTATAAAAGTCTGAAAAGTGCAAACAGCACACTGGTGTGTACAGCGTAAAGGATGTATGGTGTAGTTACTAACCAAACTGCTCATAGACCTTAAAGGCAGCAGTGTTTTGAGTTTCATTCTGAAATCCACAGGGAGTCAGTGCAAGGAAGCTAAACAAAGTGAGTTCTGAACATTCTTCAACTTGTTACGGGCACATTACATTACTGTTATCAGGCCTTTCTCTCTCATCCTAGCATTAATCCCACATCAGCAGGGTCCGCTTGTCGGCACGCCCCTCTCCATTTGGTGGTTTGAACCAAATCTTTGAGCTGACGTTGCCATTAAATGCGATCGAGAAATACTCCAACCGGCACGTCGCTCCGCCTGCTGTGGGGGGGTGGGGGAGAACAAAGTAATGTAGCCAATTCATAGAGGGGGATTATTAAGAGGCATGGGAAATTTGGCCAGGACGCCGGGGTTACACCCCTACTCTTTTCGAGAAACACCCTGGGATTTTTAATGACACTGTTATCAGGCCTGGAAAAGATAAAAACAAATGAGCTTTTCTGCATCAGACTGGGAGAGGCATGTACCGGACAGGTATGTAGACTGCCTTGGAAAAGTATTCAGACCCTTCCTATGATGTGCCCTTTTGTTAATTTGCAGACTGATGCAGGCAGATTTTTTAAAATGGACATTTTGTAAAGGACCTAAATATTCAAACTGAAGACTTCAAAGGGTAAGATATGTTACAGTAAATGTCAGCAAAAAGCTAAAGAGAAGTAACTGTGAGCTCAATATTTGGTGAAAGCATGTTTAGTAGCAATTACAGCTACACTTCTTTTCAGGTCTCTAACAACTTTGCACATCACCTTCTCAATCTGTTATTCAGTCATTTATTTGCTATAGTGTCCTTTATGTTCTCAATCTGTTTTTCAGTATTGAATCAGCACCCATTTTAGCCTGAAAACCTACTGTTTCCTTCCCTCCCAAAAACATTTCTTTTTCCTCTGTCTCTCCCTCTCTCTCCTCATTAGAGTTCAGCCCTGACAGCTGAAGATTCTAAGCAGAATGAACATGCTGCAGCTCTGGGCCTCCTGTTCAGCTGGTGCAGGACGGCTCTCGTGGCTTTTTTAGCATGCTGGCAAATCCCCTGGCCTCACCAAGCCTCACCATCTGCTCCTGCCGCGTGGCACCAGCAGGGCCAGTGACGGGTGGCTGTGGGGGGTGCCGACAGACACCCAGAGCAGAGATACCTGCACCCCTCCGCCGTCTCAGCGGCCCGACACCTCCACAGGGGACAAGGGGACCAAGGTGCTCGTGATGTGAACTGCTCTCTTTTAATTCCTTTTCTAGTTCCTCTGCCCCACACTCTGCCCTTCTTGGATTCACAGTGGAGGCCCACACCAGCGGGTCACGTGAGAAGTAAAGGGAAAGAAATGGAAGATTAATCTTACACAATGATTCACATGCCTGGTTAGTACCTGGATGGGAGATCTCCTGGGAAGCTGTGGTTGCTGCTGGAAGTGGTGTTAGTGGGACCAGTGGGGGGGATTCTCCTTGTAATCTGTGTGGGTCCTAATGCTCCAGTATAGTGACGAGGACACTATACTGTAGTGGGCACTGTCTTTTCTCAATAAGAGTAGGGAGTTATACCGGTGTCCAGGCCACATTTCCCCCCTCGGCCTTTACTGTGGCCTCCCCATGTGTGATTGACTTGATTGACTTGCACTGGCCCTGCGATGGACTGGCGCCCTGTCCAGGGTGAACCCTGCCTTGTGCTCATTGCTTGCCAGGCAGGCTCTGGCTTCCCACGACACCGTGTGGTGTAAAGCGATTTGGCAAATGACAGGACATGACATTCAGCTATCACTCCTTCAGATCCTTATCTATCTGACCAGAACCTAGGATAAGCCCCCCCCCAGTGCTATAACCACAGTAAGACATTCTATACATAAGACACCCAGTTTGGGACTAACGAGTGCCAACAGCTATTCAAGGAAATTCAAGTTACTATTTGAAATCATTATTGTGATCAATACTCAATAAAAGGAATATTATTATTCTTATGTAGCATGCTTTTAACAAAATGATCTAATTGTACCTCCATCACTGAAAAAAAAAATCTTTGGTAAATATAATTCTAAACTTAAATGCATGAAAAAGAGCAAAAGGGTTGATTTAAAGGGCTGTTGACCTTTACTTGCAGTACAGTCAGTTTCCAAATCTCACTTGTGTCTATTTCTGTACAAATATACTGGTGTCAGAAAAATTAACGTCAAGCTGTTCGCTTTGTGAAGTGGACAAGAAAAACACAGATCCCCCCCCTCCCCAGAGTGGAAGACAAAGCCAAGCAGGAGACACTGGGGAGATGGGAGGATGTGGATATATTCACACACATGGAGAAAGACAGCAGGATCACTCTGAAAATCTAGCTATACATTGGACACTAATCAGCAGAGTTTTATTTAGCAACACAATTGGCTTGCTAAAAACCCCCAAAAAGCTTCCAAACAAATACCATGGCAGTTCAAGTACTTTCACACTGAAAGTGTGTTTTGTAAATGTGATATATAGAGACCAATGAAGGCAGAACCCTTGAATTATGAAAGAAATTATCAAACTTAAACCGTTTTTTTTCCATAAGGAGATTTCACGTTGAAAGCTGTTTTTTTCGAAGGCATGGTACACATCCGTAGTGACCTGTAGATTAAAACTCCCAAGTGCCGTTTTTGTTATTTATTAGGTGGGTAGCAAGACGATGCATGTTTATTTACACCAGATTGCTCCTCCAGATGTTTCTGGAAGAGCTCCCCTCTTGTCCAGATGGAAGTGATTTTTGTACTGCTTAATAATCCTTTCCTTTCCAATTTCATTTTCCACAAAATTCGGCTAGAAAAGTTGTGATGGGATCTGGAAGCGCGCTAGGTCAAGGCCAAGTACAGCCAGTGGGAAACATTCAGTTTCTCTTTTTGTTATGTAAACTTAAGACCTTGTATGACAGATTGGCTGCATGGAGACATGACCCCTGTAGGAAAATTAAATCTTTTTCGGTTATCTTCCTAATTCTTTTAGAACTTGTCGTCTTTTATTTAGACTTTCCCCCATTAACCTATTGCATTCTGCGGCTCCAATCGAGCCGTGAAATTGAAATCAACACGCTTGCCAAATACAGAGTAAATCTTTCCAGGTGTTATTCCTTGTCTGAGGGAGCGCAGCTCTAGAAGTTTTTCTCCGGCCTTCCTTCATGTGTCACTTCCTCCTGGAGGAAGCCAACCTCACTAAATCAGAGGATAAAGCCGCCAGTGAGCCGATCCACCCACCCCCTTCATTTCTTCACTTCACAGCCTCTACCACCCCAAGCTCACACTCAGCCCATCAGAACCCAAGAACTGTTTCAAAGCAGAGGAACCTGCCTGGCCCATCTAGCCCATTTGGTAGTTACTAATGAAAGGTTCTGGCTTCAACAACATGGTTGCTTAGCTTGTGCTAGACTCTCACAGCCAGTTCAGTAATAAGAAAGTAGCTCTGTGAACCCTGTTGGCATTTTTCAGTAACATAGGGACAGGCCAGTCATCATCTGTGTGTTATAACACGTACATCAGCTGCTGCTTGCTAAAAAGTGATCCAAATCTGTTTCTAACAAGGAACACTTCAAGGTTATGACATTTTTTAGGAGCAAGCAGAATTTGCTGTGAGTTATGGGAATATTAAGTAGGTCTGATCATATTATGTGGCAGAACTGTCTAAACAGGATTTTAATTCCACCTTTACATGTATAATGTCACTGTTAACCATGCATACCTGTTTCTGTTACATACTAGAGTATGTTAAATTTGATTACGTGTACTAGTTCTGTGCTAGCTTCTACAGAGTTCACTGAATATGTTGAGTCTGCTGAAGCCACTGGTTATTTTACTTGTTGAGCTAAACAGCATCTTGGCTGCACTCCCACTCAGCATCTTTATTTGTGCTAATGTTACGCCAAGGCGAGGCAGAGCTCACAACCCTCAGTCTCCATGGAAACCATTATTACGGGGTGTCAGTCTCCTGGGACCAGTGGACTTGTTCGGGCTGCTTGTCCAGGTTTAAAAGGATAATCGTCCTGTTCCATCCAGGATATTTAAAGCCTGACCCAACTATGATCCAGTGCTCTGTCATTGAGCTTCCTTCTGCTAGGAAAGTGCCGGCAGCAAAACAAGCCTGTTTCTGAGACGGATAACATGCCTGAAGTCAGACCCAGTACCTGGCCAGTTCCTGAACCACACTGCCAGCCGGCTCCCTGTCCGTCAGCCAGTGCACCTTCAGCCTGGCCGAGCACCGGGCCAGCGGCGTCGTGATGAACTTCCTGCCTACCAGCATTGCTGGCAGCAAATCCTGCTCTGCCCTGCGAGCTGCATCTAGTCATCAGTCTCACATCAGCCCGTTTACTTACTCAGCAATCAATCTCCACCCGCCAATTTAAAATAAAATAAAAAACAGTCACATTAATATAAAAAAAAACATTTGCCAGAAACCAGTGCGCTCAGCATGTCTATGTATATGTGTATAGTGCCTTCTATCCCAAAAGAACCCAAAGTGCTTTGCATGCAGGAGGACACTCACGTCATCCACCTGGGTGGCGGAGAGAGTCACAGCACAGCAGAGGAGGAGGAGCAGTGAGAATGCAGATCACCAGTAGACTTGAGGGAGGCCTTTAGGGAGACCAGAATTTTCAACCCCAGAACTGAATTTAGTCAGGCACTTTAGTGAGGTTAGCACCTCTAACCTTTCACAAAAACTTTGATTTCTGCCTCATTAGAAGGAGGCACCACTTACTGGTTAATGGACCTCACTTGCAGAAATGCTGAAACCTAATTTTCCATCTCGGTAATGTCCAGGACAAGTCTAGTTTAACTTTTGAGATCTGATAAGATCAGGCTATTGGGAGATAACTATTCTGCCACAAGGCAGCTGTATATCTTATTATCCAGCCTCATACAAACATAGTGCTGACTTAAACTACATTAAATGAATGTTTAATATCTTATTTTTTTTTTATTCTCAAAAGACAGTGCTTGTAAGTGTTTAATTAAATTGGAAACCAGTGGAACCCACCACACAGGACCAAATTGTAGATTATGTCCCTGCAGAAGGCGGATGAAAATCAGCAGTTAAATATGTGTTAAGACAGCTGCTCAAGAGAAATGGTGTATAAAACAGGGAAGCCACACCGAGGGAAGTTCATAACAGAAGACAAATTAGCATGGAAATCCTGCGCACCTCTCATTGCAGGACCCCTGCAGTTTCTCTTCCTGGTAGTGCAGTAAAATCCTCTCGCCGTACTACCAAAGAATTTCCAGTAATAATCAGTAAGGGGTTGTTATTCTTCTTCAGCGTTTTCTTTCTTTTTCTTTCACTGGTTTGTGTCTTGGGTAATGAGAGTGCACAATCTGGATACTAATTAGCCAGTTGCTTCCAAAACTAGACAGGTGATGAGTAAAGAGTCACTGGTCAGAACTTGCTTTCAGGAGGGCGCAGCTAACTGACCACAGTACTGGTGTGTCATTAGAGGGCACCTAACCTGGAAGACAAGGGTGGTAAAACACCCCAGCACCATTTTACAGCACAGACCCATGTGTACACAAACACACAAATGAGAGCAGTTTAAAGAGACCAAGTAACCTGGATTTGACTAGGAAATTAACTAGGAGGAACAGCACAAGGACGCAGGTAGAATATATCAATTTCACACAGAAGGTGCCCCAACTTGGAGTCAGCAGCACTAACCACTAAGCCACTTTGCCATCCAATACAGTGACCCATTGTCCGATGAAATGGCTTTGGATTTCCCTTACGTGCACATTTGGTCCAAGAGTTTGCATTGACAAAGAGTTTCAGTCCTGCCCTGGCCAGGGGAACAGGGCTCCAGTACTGAGTGGGTTTCAGAAGCGACATCCCCACCGCCCCTCCCTGCTCCTCCTGTGTGGGACTGTACCCCAGCAGATCGCCGGGTCTTTTGGAGGGGTGGAGCTGTCTGAAGATAGAGCTACACCCTGAGGCCATGAGCAGCCGGGACTGAATCCTGGCAAGGGCAGAGAGAGCCCCACACACTCACTTGAATAGCAGGAGCTTCTCAGACTCTTTGACTTTTGGAAGCCCACCTTACAGTACATTGAAGCAGGACAGAAAATCACTTTAACAATCACCCTTTGTTTTCTCAATATTGTTTTAATTACCTCAAAGGAGCGCCACCCATGGTCTTCACTCCAGTTATTATTCTCTTATAAGGACCTCGAGCAAAGATGGAATGGGGCTGATTAATTTTTGGGGTAATTTCCAGACAGGCTGTAATTAATTCCTACATTCACAGCCATGTGAGGTGCTTTAACACTGCCTCAATCGATCCTCTGAGAAACCCTCTGGACATTGTTAGAGCTGGTCAGTGTATAATAGTGAGTGAGAGACAGATCAAAAGATAAAAAGCCAAGTTCTGAAAAATTAGAACATGGAGAAATGGCAAGGAAAGGTTTCCCAGAACAAAACAGTTAAAAGAGCAGATTATTTATTTAACGTGGGTAAAGTACATCTATACGTTTTCAGTCAGTTTGGCCTGGAAAGAGTTTCAGTGGCATCCACGAACGTACTTGTTGTATAACTGGGGTGTCTTCCATTCATAACTGTGGTTTTCACTAGTTTCCCAGCACTCCAGCTTTCAGTGTTATCACCCTTGATTTCCATAGCCCAGCTGTGGAGCAGTGTGAGTACTGGAGAGATAGTCACGGGATGTTTCATTAAGCACGCAATGTAACCGTGCGCGACCCTATCATTGCCATATGAGTTTTCTCCGAGCCACAGACGTTTGTGTCATTTCCTATGCTTAACCTCTGCCTCCACAGGTCATGAAAATCACTTTCTCAGGCCTTTTTATGGACTGTTTTCTGCATCTGCAAGCGGCAGCTCAAATGTTATTATTCCATTTTCAGAGGTTGCTAACGTTTATACATGATTTATTCGGTGTTGTCAGTTTCCCACAAGTGTTAAATTCTGCAGTTGTACATTTAGTGGTAACACAGTAAACATGTTCTCAAGGCTGGAGGAGACTGTTTTAATTAAAGCACACTAATTTATGACTTGTCTCCGTTTCACATATTTGTGAGTTTTCTCTGGATGGAGAGTACAGTACACTTCTGATCATCATGTCTGAATACCACATATTTTCTGATGGTGTGCTGTGTTAAAACATTGAACTTTGTATTTTTAAATTGTAATTGACAATATATACAGTATATATGGTTAACACTTTATCTTTTTATCATTTCCATTGGTATTCTATAGAACTTTGTAGGGTAAATGCTGATTCAGGTTTTGAGTTGCCTTTATTGTCAAAGGTTGTGCTTATATTACCATTGATGTTTCAATTTTTACAAACAGGGAATACGAAGGAATCTGGTTGTTACCGGAGTCTTCTGGACCGCTCTCTAACATTTGCAAGTTAGTGTAGCTGACAGAATAGGTGAACTACAAGACATTACCCATTACAGTTCAAGAGATGAGAAAATGGACTGGGCATGCCAAGCACACGCCCAGACCGTAAATTACATTACAGAGACACAGCACAAGATTTGTTAACATCTGTTTAACAGGCTTTCCGGATAATAAACCCCAAAAGAAGAAAAAAAAACATCACTATAAAAAAGCAAACGAAAAAAAAAAGAAAAATAAATCACAGATGAAGAAGATAGAAAAATCCTGTTGCACTAAAGACATGCTGTGGCAGCCCAGCCCCTATCAGGATAGACCCAAGGGTTTATACAGTACACACAAGAAACACAAATTAGCAACAAGAAGCCCAGGAGGCTAGATATTCTGCCAGAACAGCAACCAAAAACATCAGCATTCAAAACACCTCTATCTCCTTGCATGCCCCTTTAAAATACCAAAACAACAGCATATTTGCACCCATGTAAAACTGTGGAATTCTTTACCAATTCATAATTACAGACAGTAATCTACTTGAAGTGAGGTTCTGCAGGCAGGTGAGGTAGAGGGTAACCCCTTCTTCAGGAGACCAGGAAAGATTCAGAGTCCAGGCTACAGAGGTGAAGCCTCTGTTTCATATGAAGTTCAGGCTGGCAGTGTGACAGGAAGAAAAAGCTTTTCCCTCCCCTTTCTTTCTGCGTGTTTCCCCTGCCAGAGCTCTCTTTGCAGCCCGGTGACAAAAGTCACAATCTTCATGTCCACACAGCCTCCTCTTCCAGCAGCTGGGTGACTTTCCTTTCTTTCCTTTCTGGTACCAGAAACTGCCCGCAGTCTGCACATTACGTCAGAATCTCAAGGATGTCTGTTTGAACAAAATGTTTTATAGATGCAAGGTATTTGGTGCTTCCAGTAACCACAGGGTTACACAGAAAGTACAGGCACAAGGTTACGAGCGTTATGGTTCCAATAATTTTTAGTTTATCATGGTGTTATATAAAAGATATCTAAAAACAATCCTTCAAATAATTATGTAATTCATCTCAAGTGAGGCTCTTTACAAGTAATAGAGGCCGTGAAGTGGCCTGTAGTAGCAGGTTGCTGTAATTACAACCCTTCCTTCAGCTGGGCAGCCATACAAGCGCTGACTATCCCACCGCCAGATGTGTTGCTTTGCACATGTGTGTGAGTCACTGAAGATGGATGGCAGTATGGGTAGAAAAAACACAAGACATACTCAAGTCTGGGCCTCTCCAGCATCAAAGTCAACAGCACAAGAACCAAGGATACGGAAACTGGGGAGAGTGCATTTAAAGGCAAAGGGCATTTAAAACTGAGAACAGGAAGCACATTAGAGCAAGGGCTTTGGGAGTGTGGAACAAGCTACTTAGCCTTGCTGTGGAAGCCAATACCCTGCATTCATTCAGGAAACAACCGGATCCTCAGTTTAATTAGCTACCAGCAACCAAACAGACAAGATGGTCTGAGTGGCCTCTGCTCATTTGTAACTGTTTTTATGCTCTTCTGTTCTTAATGAGGAACCAGTCTGTCCAGCAGTGCCACCTGTTGGGGTTGTTAAGCCCTGACACTGGAAGCTGTTGTGTCTGCTGCTCCCACTGCAGATGGGAAGTTCAGAAACAAGCACCTGGTCTGGTAACACAGTGAATATGAGCATGTGTTGTTTGTTCATCCTACACCAGTGAGGAAATGCAGAGGGGATTCAAGGTGAATTTGACACTGAACTGCTGAGGGAAAGAAAGAATTGAGAACTCTTAATAGTAATAAGCTAAAGCAGCCAGTAAGCAATCTACAAATGAAAATGTCAAAGATTCTTGCTCCAGTGCATAAGTGAATCCTTATCATTCTGACAGTAATCTCAAAATATTAAATCTGTAACTCTATAC